GGGTCACTTTTCCGATTGGGTTTGGGTTTGGGTTTTGTTCTGGTTTACCAGTACTTATCTAACCTGGCAAAGCTACCAAACAAGCAATCTACTCCTTTTTCAAGCTGATAAAATGACTATAGTGAAATTTGTGATTCACTATTCAATTCATATTCATCTAATGCTTTGAAATTCAAAGTACTTTTGGAATTAAGATTCCACACTAGTGAAAAATTTACATGTTCTCACTTTAAGATTAGTGGAAAACCATGTTTAAAACGCAAGTTAAAATAGTAACAATCGGTTTTATCAAACAAGAAGAAGAAGTATATATGTTAATTCCATGGATTTTTTCACATACGATACTCATTGCAAAATGATAGGTGAAACCTTAAAAAGGCCAGTTGCAATAATTTTCCCTATCTGTTCAACAGGGAAATCTTATTTCCAGCTTAGAGAAATGCATGAAGTCCAGCCCCAATATCCCTGTCGTGCTCTAACGATGATAATATGACCTCTGAAAATAACATTTCTCTTTGACATGTATGTGTTATATGGCTGTAATAACCTCAAAATTGGGATTTTGTTGTTATTAATATTTCGAAAAATCATATGAGGTGGATAATAATATTGGATGTTTTATGAATTTGGTTTGATGTGAAAATATTGGAATTAAGTGACTTAATCTCAAATTGGGACAAAAATACCCTTACAATTAAGTTTGTGATTTTTGAATTGGAAAATCGAGCTTGATCTCACAAACGCGTAGGCGCAAACGGTTCGTGAATCCGAGTTGAAACAAAGAAGTTATGCTCGTTTGAAGTTTCAGGGACTTAAGTGCAAACAGAGACTTTGTCTATAAATTACAGATGGACACTGTTGGGATTTCAGAATTTGCAATTTTGCCCGGAGGTTTGAGAGCTCGTCGGAGAGGCGATTTCTGGCGGCTTCTACGGCGGTGTACGGTGGTGGTGATCGACACCACCAATCCAGGTCGAAAGCCTGCTATCTCGTAAGCATAACCCAAGAAGAATCAGAGCCACCGGAGGTTCAGTGAAGGCACGGGGAGGCCGTGAAGTTGGTTCGTCACTAGTGAAGTCAACGACTTCAACCGGCGGTTTGAGCCACTTACACTTCGAATCGGACCTTGAGGGAAGAATTAAAGTTGTTCTACTCAGTATTACGAACATTTTGGCGTAGATCTTGAACGGCGATTCTAGGGTTGGTCTGTCGCCGGAATAGTACCCGAACCACAACCGGCGGTGGCGGCGCGTGGCAGCGCACGGTGGGGATTCTGAGTTAGGGGTTCAGAGACAGATTGTAGTCCTGGAGTTACTGAACATGATAGTATGTTTAAATTATTGAGATTCCGTCGTTTAGTCGACAATCGGAACCTCACAAATCTGGACCATTGATCGGAGATGATCGAACCGTTGGATCGTGTCCAATTTTAGTTATGTTGTAGCCAGTGTTGTTAGGAGTCTGTAGGTTCAGACAGATTGATGATCGGACGTTCCGATCTTAAGTTATCATGTTTCAAAGTTAAGGCGAGTGATCGCCATTCGATCGTGCGATATAAAATTATCCGACCGTTGGATTGGGCCCAAATTGTCGCAGGGTGATGTCGGGACTATTTAGAGTCCATGGGTACGATCGGATTTGGAATCTGAGTTTGTGGGCCCAAGATGGATTTTTGGGTTGTCGGTTAGACATGTGGGACCCACGGGACCCAAATAGTGACCTTTTGGACAATGGGTGTCATTGGTTATTATTCGGCGTCGACAGCATGTACGTCACAGTATTGGAGTTGGTTGGATGAGATTTGATCACTTTGGATCCCCGATTGGTCCAAAGGGCATTTTCGTCATTAGATACGAAATTTTGGATTTTGGAGTTTTGCGCTAAGTTGAGTTATGTACTTTGCTTAGGTACTGTTGAAGTTTGAGTTGCTCGTTGAGGTTTGGGATTGAGGATTCGTTAAGTTGTTGAAGACGCAACTTGGACAAGAGGTGAGTAAAACCATCCTAATCGTGAGTAAAATCATGAATTATTATATTTATTATAATGTGACCTTGGATAATGTTAATGGCTATAATTAACATGTTGTTTGTGATTTTATAAAATGTTTTAATTGATTTAAAACACCTGAACTTGTTCATCAACGGTTCATGAGGTAAGTGAAACCTATTTTGTTTTGAATTGATTCTTCTTATTGGAGATTTTGGTGTTGAACCATATAACATATGTTATGGATGTTTGGTGGAAATTCATTTGTGAATAACCACATAAATATATATAATAAATATGTATTGCTGTGATTGGTGTATTTGGCTATAAAACAATGTTTAATGTGAAACTACATTTTATATTGTTTTGGTGTTGATGGTTTTAGGTGAGAATACCTTGAATCCCTTCTGAGTTTGTCAGGTGGGCATTCTCGTGACAAATAAGGAGGGATAAATTACCCAAGGGAGCAAGACCCAAGAACAGTTAGAGCTCTAGTCTGATGCCATCTAGTACTCATGACTGGAGTGTAATCATGAGTGAACACTACTTTGGAGTTTTATAGTGTTATAGATTACTATTCATTTTTTTTTTATTTTTTCCACAAATTTTTTTACCTAAATAATTAATTTTGATCTACGTGTCAAGACTATTCATATCGAATTTTTTGGAAAGTGAAGGGTATTGATAGGTATTTATAGAAAAAAAAATTCAGAATTTTTTGGTTTTTTTTTTTTTTTTTTAATAATTCAAAATTTTTTCATAATTTTATAGCCAAAAAAAGGCCAACCGTTGGATTGAAGGAGGAGAAGCAGATCGGAGTGCCCAGGCCAAGACACGTGTCTTCTAGCCATTGGAAACCCGCGCACTAACGTCATCCTCCCCCGCGGGTTGCAAGTCGGGCGAGACTTGCCTTCAGGCCAGCCCATCTTCGTGGGTCCCACATCCAGCCCGGGCAAAAGTGGCCCGCTGGAACTAGCTTTTTGGCTTGGCCTCCCCCAGCCCCAGGCTTGGGCTCCTCGGTGGAGTTGCTCTTAGAGGAGTTCCACCGATTTGGAATATTGCCATGGCAAATGGCCTCCTAGGCTGCAAAAACACACTCCACTAATCAAATCCAACTCTGGCAGATGGTGGGCTCCACCAAGACTGGGTAGGCCCGATGATAAGAATGGTCCAAGCTGTTGCATGAGGGCGCTAACGTCAGAGAAGGAAAAAAGTATTTTAAAAATTGAAAAAAATTCTGAAAGAATACCAATAAATTTATATAAAAAAATTATTTTATAAATGCCTATCAATTTTTTATTTATTAATCTCATACGTATAAATAAAATTAATCCAATGTAAATAGTAATTGCCCTTGAGTTGCCATGGCAATGGGATGGAAAAGCACCAAAAAAAAAAAAAAACTAGGGCAAATACTATTAACGTGAACAATAACCGTCCTTACCCTTTGCCATGGCAAATGGGTGGAAGTGCTCTTAAAGGTTCAGTGGCGGAGTTGATGATGGGGTGGATTTGGGACAGGGGTGGCGATGGGTTCTCTCACCCTCTCTCCTCCCTCAATGGCTACTTCTCTCCATTCTCTCCTCACCTTGCTCGGAATTTGCTTGGGCAGCCGCACTATCTCCAACCTTCCGTTTGGCAAGCTACTTTTCAATATTTTTTTTTTCTTTAGATAAATTGATTTATCTAGTTTTCATTTTTTGTTCTTAATTTCTGAATTTTTTTTTTTTTTTTTCAATTTAAGACTCAAACACGAGATCTCACTCTTGCCCTCACCATGGTAGAACTAGGGATCTCACTCTTGCCCTTTTCCATGGTATATTGCTCGGGTTGGCCACGATTGGGTGTCTTGAGGAATTTTTGTGGGGGGACCTGAGGAGGAGTTTTCCGGTGGGACAGAGACTGGTCATGTGATTTGTTAGAGCACTTCCACCCATTTTCCATGGCAAGGGGCAAAGTCAAATAAGGGTGGTTAGTGTTCACGTGAATAATATCTACCCTAGCAATATTTTTGTTGCTTTTCCACCCATTGCCATGGCAATTACTATTCACATGTGATTAATTTTATTTATATGTATGCGATTAATAATAATAATAATAAGAAGAATAATTGCTAGATATGTATAAAAAAAATATTCTGAATTTTTTTGGTAATTTTTCAGAATTTTTTTCGACTTTTAAAATTTTTTTTCTTTGCTGACATCAATGTGATGTCACATCCCTCAGGTAACAGCTCGACTTGTTCTTGCCTTCAAGCCTGCCAGGGCTTGGTGTAGCCCATGCCTTGCCGAGGCTATTTTGTACCGGTAGAGATCCATTTCTCTGCAGGGCCTGCCGTTGGAACTGCCCTTAACGGGGTTAGGGATGATTGACTTAAAACCAGCCAAAAGGCTTGGGTTAAAAGAGAAGAAAGCATTGTCCTATAAAAAAGAGGGTTTACATAGCTTTATAAAATTAAAAAAAAAATTTAAAAGGTTTACATATTAGAAAAACTAAAATACCTATGAAAATGGATGAAAAATTGGATAGTGTTAAAGTCAGATGACAAATCATGAATTTTGAAAAATTAAGGTGATATTTCTCTTATATGATTATTTAAAGTGACAAATTGAAACTGATGTATAATTTCAAGTGACATTTCTACAAAATTCCACAAACAAAACGAAGAGAATTACCACTAGACTAAGTAGCTAGTTGGGTTGTTGGCGTGTGTCACTTATTCTAACACATTTTCTTTTGGCCATTTATTTAGCCTAGAATTGGTTATATGACTTATAAGGAAGCTATTATCTCAGCTACAGACGGATGTAGCAACACAATTTGACTGACCTCCACACCAAACTCGAGATAGATTCGAGACTTGTTTTCTAACATATAACACTCAGGCACGTACTCAATGATCTGGTGCCAACAAAATCAACCAGGCGCAAGACTGCAAACCCTATACCCTAAAGGTCGGTGACCTAAAACTTATGCATGACTTTTTCCTGAAGCAAAACAGATTGAAGAGCTTATTTATAAAAAGAAAAGAATGAATGTACTGCTCTATTATTTTCTAAAAGAGAAAGGTATACAACTTTCAAGTTTTGGTCAGATATAAACGAGAACAATCCTTATCCTACCTTCGAACTACAAAAACATGGCTGCCACACACATTGAGCGGGCAGCTCACTAGCTAGTATCCCTCCCTAGAAAAGGATCTTAAACTTCACTACTGAAGAACCCCAACCCCCATTTTGCCCCTAAAATAGACATAATTAGCAGAGCAGGCATCCAAAACTTTCTGCAACCTAATGCAGGTTCGGTACCTCCTCCTGAGGTCAGGCAGCAGCCTGTGTAGGAGTAGGAGGTCCATCAACTCGGAAACCCTGACCACGCCCACGACCTCTTGCCCTGCCTCGGCCACGCCCTCGTCCTGCAAGAACCAAGATAGAAACCATAAAATGGTTATATTACATTCATATATTAAGAATGAAAGACAAATTTCGCAGATAGCCCAAGAAAATTATCAAACACATCAGCACCGAAGGAAACTCAATGCTAGCAACAAAAATGAAAGCGGATTCCACCTTTCTTCATTCTAATAAAAGATTTGTTATTTGTATAACAATTTGCAACATTCAAAGTCAATTTTGTTATTTGTTCGGGAACTAACCAAAATATTTCAAAAGTGCCGTCGACAATGTAAATTATTCATCCCAACATACACGTCCCATGGAAGCTTTAGTTTACATGATTTGACTATTTAAATTTAAAAATCCATATCTTAAGAATAGGATTCATAATACAACAGGGAAGATTATAATCATAGATATACATTTCTCCATTATATTATTTTCCGAAATATTTAAACACAATAGATTTAATGATGTGAAAGCTTACCACGACCTTGTGTAGGAGGTGCCCCACCTCCATAATCATTATAAGCATTATAACCACCTGATTCCAGCTGCATACTTCCCCCACCATATCCTCGTCCACGTCCACGATAACCACGGATTCTTCCACGACCTCGACCCCTGCCACCATAGCCGCGCCCACCATCAAAGCCACCATAGCCGCGCCCACCATCAAAGCCGCCATCACCATTGTATTCCACTACTCCATTGCTAACATTCCCTGTACAAAAGAGATACATGAACTATTACTGCTTTTTACATCAGCTGGTATAATGTAAAGACATATATGTGAAGGAAAAACAACACCAAATGCAAATATACTGAATAAAAAAAGATAAACAGCCCGCTACTGAAAATCAAGGTATTAAATAACAAAATTGATAGAAAAATGAGAGTTTAAAAACAGAAATATAGACAAAAAGTAACGATATAGGTAAAAATTTGAGAGAAAGGACATAAATTTTGAGAAAATATGGAATTTTAAATGAAATTTGAGAAATTATCTACTATTTTGACCAAACATAACGAATCACACAAGCAACTCAATACTGCATAGAATTCCTAGGTTTTCAAAGTTTTCACTCTCTTATCATCTCTATGCGTAGATATGGTTTATTTTGAGGACTGGATAACCATATGAACTTGGGATTGGTGGCGCCTGTTCCTGCCAGAAGTTAGAGTAAATGATTTTAAAAAGATTTCCAAAGAACAAAGAAAAGAAGAAGAGGACCAATCAAAGGTTCAACCCTTACTTCCCAATTGATGCAAACCCTCCCCTTGATGGAAGTCTAAAATGCTTTAGCAAATTGACAACTGATCTAAAAGCTCTATTTGATCTAATAGACTCAGTTTAAATATTCTAAACAATAAAATTAAAAATAATAGAAAAACAGCTGGAGATGCAGTCACATCATCCATCATAAGCAAGTTAATTTCACCAATACGCAGACAACTTCACCCACTCACCCAAAACACTTACCTATGTCTACATCTGAGAAACCGTGACATGGACTTCACCAATTTATTCACCAAAACCTCCCTGACACTATACCCTTATCTCCCTCACTATTGGTGTGTTACACAAAATCTCTCTCTTTCTTACAGATGTATTTGTATTTCTTACAAATTGTTTTCTGCAATCAACAAACTCCTAACTTAGTCTTAGTTTTAAAAAATATATATATGCTATAATCTCCTAACTTAGCGTTGTTAGTTTTTATTTTTATTTACTTTTACCAACAGTATAAGTTTAAAACTAAGTAACATATATTAATGAATTATTGAGCACTTTTTTAATAGGAAAGAATGACTTCTATTAAATCAAAGAAATACAAAGATAAACGTCCTTCAGCAGATCAGCAGTGCACTAACTCAACTATACAATCTGGAAAGTAATCTCTCAAAAACAAAGTTATCAAAGCTAAACTGAAACCACAACAACAAACACTCAACAACGGCTCCCCAACCAGAATCAATAAGAAAAGAACCAAGCCCATAATTAGGTCCAAAAACGCACTCCAATCCCATAGTTCAAGTGCATCCTTTTTTCCCCTATCTTTCTAGCATTTCTGTCCAACCAAATCACCCAGACAAATCAAAAAAGTTTCAAAAGAACTTTTGCCTTAGATACATCCCCACACAGTGTTTCTCCACTAATATGTTGTTTGCATGATTAAGAAACTTGCAGGCCCAATGCAAATTAATGTTTCTTCTTGTATTTGTACGGATGATTAAGCAAATTCCTGAATGATTGCATACTTGTACGCATTGATTGGTGAGGTATTTATTGTATATGATAATTTGTGTACTAATTGGTGTGTAGTAAGTGATAAACTAAATAACTACTGTGATATGTGTATGATTAAGTACTTGAATAAAGTAATTGGAGAGGTATTACATATACTACATAATTTTATAACTAATTAGGGTGCAGTTATGAAAAATATTAAGGACAATGTATGATATCTAGCAGAGGAAATAGGGACATGATAATGCTTGGAGGCATGGATTTTCATTAATGGAAAAAAAAGGGCACAATATGCAAACATTGTGGCCTTGTGATTGGGACTGGTGGGGGGTGATACAGCTTTAGTACCACCTCAGAGGTTTAGAACTTCGGATCCGAGACAATATGCAGCGAAACATTTCCCCATAAGTGAAGGCATACTTATTGAAGAATAAACAGCAATAGACAAAGAAGGCACATTGCGCTTAGGATGTATACAATGATTGGGAATTCCTGATGTACCCTCCAGACAGAACATAAAAACGAGCAAGAAATTGGGAGGTACTCTGTGCTTCCAAATATTTACTAGTAAGCAAGAGAGAGAGAGCATATCCACAAGGTTTTCATACAGGGTGCAACAATTTGGGTCTAGTGGTGGTATTACGGCAGTTTTTGCACTATGTGTATAGTTATAAAGAGCCACAACCTCTTAAATTCTTAAGTGGCTCCCTCCCATCTTTGTTTTCTCCCTCCCTCTCATGTCTAAATTCCTCTTGAATCGCAACTATTTTGTTAGTATGAATTAATTTAGAATTAATACAAGAAAAAAAATAGACTGACAAGTAAAACTTAGATTGATTTGTCACAAGAAAGAGCTTGAATTTTGTGAGGTGCCCCACCCTCCCTCTTGCAAGAATAGAGAAGAGTGTCAAGTAAGAATTAGCATCATATGATCATTTAAAAAATCTGGTGGTAAGATGCGAACAGGTTAGGAGTGCAACCTGGTCACCTCTTATTAAGATAAGGAAATAAAAATTGGAAATAACACTTCATGACACCAACGAGCATTTGATTTCAACGAAGACAAAGTAGGGGAGGTTGCGCATGTGGGCTAAATGGACAAGGCCTACTCAAATATCCCCATAAACTTTATGATATTACTCCAAAGGAACACTATTTTCCTTAAGTTGGTTGATGTTTCATATATACGATCCTTGCTTAAAATTAACAATCCTAGTTTTCACATTACCACTAATTTGCCACCTGTCACAACAAACCATCTAGGTTCTTTTGTTCCTTTTAAGGAAACTATCAGGCCCAACAACATTAGTCTTTTTCTCTGTACCCATACTACTTTGGATATTCAATATGAAATACTTCCAGGTTATCTCTAATAATGAATTGAACATGCTACTTCCCAAATTTCTATATATAATTTTTTTCCGCTTTAATTCATTTCACTCCACTCAGATTTTCTTCACTCACATGTTATTAGGTCTTCAGTGCATACAACCATCTAAAATAAATTTCTCTAATCACACTCTATGAAACTACCTGTAGTTGTACCAATTCAAGGAAAATCCATCTTTCATCTAGCTGCTTAAGGAGGTTTGAGTACTCAAACCAATAATTCACAATGCTCGAAGTGCATAACCATGAACAAATAAAAAATAAAAATCACTTTGGAGAAAATTTGTGTATTACCTCTACCTCTACCCCTTCCTCGACCGCGTCCTCTACCTCGCATACTAGGAGAGCCCTCTATTCACAAAATAAAACAAATAATTATTCATTTTTGTACAAAAAATAAAATTATTATTAAATGCTTAGAGCAGGATTAAATTCAAATCAGTGATCATAAGTTGTGGTTACCTCCTTCATAACCATATTCAGTCCATGGTTTCACTTGATCTGCTGGAATCGGTGCCTGATATCTGCATCATATTAAAAGTAAACCAATGTAAATCATCAAACATATAGAACAATAATACAAACTCTTGTCTGAACTTTTGTTTCATGTCAGCAAAGAATGTGACTTTGAAGATGGTAATCATATAACATAGCAGAAACTCCGTGTGCATCAGATTTTATGATCTAAAGATGATAATGGAAGCACAAAACACGGCCTGATATTGCTAGAAGCAGAGAGAGAGAGAGAGAGAGAGATGAGTATCTGTAAACCCATGCTCATTACTGTTAAAAAAAACAAAAACAAAAATCAGCAATCAGCTTGGTTAAAAATCCAGTTCTACATACCCTGTAGAGGATCCATCCAATTCCTTCTTGGACAAAGTAATTGTAATCACTGATACATGGCGAGTAGTTTCTACACTGCATCAGTAGAATTTTATTAGCCAAACATAACACTCAATATGACAGAATGCATGAGAAATTATCATTGAGAAAGGATCATATTATGGTTCTCACGGATCAAGGCCTTCTTCCAGCGGCTCATACAAGTCAGTTATATCAGTAGAGCCAATATATGTGTTTTGATGAAGGTCAGCAATCCTTCGCTGAAGAGAAAACAATTTTGTAATGAGCAACATAACATGTACAGAAAGGCACAAAATTGTTGAGTCGCTGATTTAAAGAACCTTAATAAGTTCAGCAATCATCACAGTCTTGTTGATAGCTCTGCCCATGGCTTTGAGAGCAATTTCATCAGATCCTTTCTCCTGTAAACAAAAAATAATAATGACACAACAGTGAAAACATAACAAATGGTATATAATAAAGTTAGTAAAACATAGAGGCCCAATAACTTTTCTGTTTTTTTTTTTCCCGAAAATAACAAATGATCAAAAAAATTCTTTCCTTTTGCCACAGTTTAAACCGACACAAATTATCCAAGAGGCAGACAACTAAAGATGCCTTTCTCAAAATTATTTAAACCAACATTAAAAAAGGAAAAGAAAAAAAAAAAAAAAACCCTTCACGTAAACAGGAATAACAATGCGATATTATATATATATATAAGCAAACACATCTCTTAAAAAATGGGCTTCTCCCACAATGGTTCTTTTTTCTCATCAACAATGTACATTGGTACAAGAAAAACTGACTAAATTAACAAATCAATCATAATACAAATCATCATTTACAATGCACTAGGGTCTTAAACATGAAAAACCGTTGAGAAATGACCCCAAAATGCACGTACAACAACAAAAACAACAGCAACAACAGAGAGAGAGAGAGAGAGAGAGAGAGAGAGAGAGAGAGAGAGAGAGAGAGAGAGAGAAAAGGACCTGAAGCAGAGTGGTGGCGTAGGTAATGTAGTTCCTGATCCTGCCCTGAGTGGTAATGCGAATCTCATTCTCGTTAATTGGCGTTTCCTCCCGAGGTTTCTCTATCCTCTGATACCGATCCATTTTTCTGTCTACGTATTTCCTCACACAACAGAGAGAGAGAACTGAAATTCAAATTCAAAACCTAAAAGAAGTCAGAAGAAAACAACGCCGGCATTATACGACAGATATCTGAATGAAGAACAACAACCAGAATTAGGGTTAGGGCTTGGGATTGGGATTAGGATTGGGGTTGGGGTTGGGGTTGGGATAATGGTGGCAGTACCGTTTGAGAGTTGTTTCAGTCAAAAAGTGAAAGCTGAATACCCGCTCAATCAGAGAGTGACAGAACAGAAGGAACCCTAAGCTTTGTTTCTCCTTTTGAAGTTTAATGACCAAAACACCCCTGAGCTTTAGATAACTCCAACTTTCTGTCCCATTTTTTTTAATAATGCTATTTCCACCCCGTCATATTTTCCTACATACCTTATCTTCAAAATTTTAAATATAAATTTACCCCTTTGTAAAATAACTTCTAAAGACTTAGAAAAAACCCTTCAACTCACGTAATCCACCTATTATATCGTTTGACAAAAAGAAAAGAAAAAAGTAAAGATCAAGTAAGAGGGGTGAACACAAGATGAAGAAAGGAAAGATGCCAAAAGTGCACGTAATGCAACAAGCTGCATACCACCCTCAATATTAGCGGTTCATTCAGTTGGTAAATGTTTTTGTTCTCACCAGCCCATGCCCCTTTAAGAGAATTAGTAGTTATGTTTATAAGAAGAAGATCAACATCTCATCGCCATCCTTCAAATTTCAATGCACCACCTTATGAAAAAGAAATATAATATCCATGTTACTCATTAGTAATGCTTTGGTGTCAGAAAAAGTACGTTAAATTCTACCTACATAAAGAGTATATTGGCAACAAGTGAACTTTTGAGGGCATGTTTGGTACCCCTCACTATATTGGATTGGGTTAAATAACACTTAAAAATTCATGTTTGGTAAGAGGGGACTAACTTAAATGAAATTAAATAGTCTAACAGTAAAAAATTTGCCTCACTTGCTCGTTCAATATAACGAGCTTGAAACATGGTTCGCAAAATAGCGAGCTTGCTAAATAGAGCAGGCGAGTCCGATGATAACCAACTTCTTCTTCTTATTCACCTAGAACTGTCACCACCATATCCCCAGCCAAACCATCAAAATCACCACAGATAGTCGTCAAACCCAGTCACTCAAACCATCTACCACCAATTCAAACCCACCCACTCGAATCAACCACCACCAATTCAAATCTAGTGGAACCAAAACCAAATTCAACCCAAATTCAACCACCACTGTCAAACCCAATTGAACCCTCTGAAAAATCATCAACCATCAACCATGGCTCAATGAAATCAGATGGAGATTTGTGACTTCAAAGGAGATGAAAATCTGTTACTTCAAAGGGGAATAAGAGAGAGAAAATGATGAGGAGGCAGAGAAAGGTTGGGAGGGGGAGACAGAAAAGGAGAGAGAAGGAGAAGGATATCATTGTATCAATATTGGAGAAAAAAAGAGAGAACCATAGAGTGAGATCGGGAGGAAGAAAGAGAAAAGAAAGGGGGCCTAGGAAGGAAGAAGAAAAAGAAAAAGGGGAAAAAAAGGAAGAAAAAAGAAGAAAGACATGAGATAAAGATAGTTTTAGCTTTTAAAATATTATAATTTTTTTATTTAATAAATTATACATTTTTCGTTGGTTTCTTTGCATCATTTACTTAGTTTTAGGTCAAAATCTCTAATGAATTTTAAATATTTAAATAATTATTTTAATGGTAGAATTGTGTGTAGTGAACTGAACCTCTAATTTTTGAGTCATGTAGATGACTTTGGTATATATGAAGAATTTCTAACTTTTGCATATATGAAATGTACATGTCAATTTGGTTTGGAGGAAAAGAAATGTATATGTCAATTTGGTAATTCCAATAACAAAAAAACTTACATTTAATTATTTAAAAATTATTATTTTTAAATATAAAATAATTATTTTTTAGTCCGACACAGCACCAAACATAGGTCTTCACTATTTTTACAATCCAGCTTTGTAGTCCGATGCAACACCAAACGTAGGTCAGGACTTAATCCAGCTTAGGCCAATCCGAGCTAATCTGAGAGAGTCCCAGGATTTAGTCCAGTCCATGTCAGTCCACCGTACCAAACGACCCTGAAAGGCCATACTCTTGTTCTATTAGGACACATGAAAGACAAAACTTGACTACTTAGAGCATCTTCAAAGGGATAGGCAAACGAAGTAGGCAAAAGTGTATTATATAGACTAGGCATGGGCACGAGATGGTAAGGTATTGACCACATCTCGCTTCTGGTATCAGAATTTTCAAACAACACGGTACGGTATGGGTACGGGATTGGTGTTTTTGTTTTTTGGTACCGAATCATACCGGAGCCGATCGGTTTCGATATAACACGGTACCATTTCGGTACCACTATTGCTGAATGGAATTTTCATAGCCAAGATTTTCAAACTTAAAAAGAGAAAGATGCACAAAGACAAAAAAAAAACAGAGATGAAAAAGAGGAAAAAAAAAACTGAGATTTGAAAAGAGAAAAAAAACTGAGATGAAAGAGAGGAAAAAAGAAACAGAGATAGAAAAAAGAGAGGAGAGAAAAAAAAAAGATAGTAATGGAGAGAAAGAAAGTGACGGGGAGGGAAAGAAGAAAGAGAAGAGAGAGAGAGAGAGAGAGAGAGAGAGAGAGAGAGAGAGAGA